TATATAATGTCCCCTACACCACGGCTGTAGTCTGATGATTCTCAGTCTTTACCTGCTATAAAATGTTCTCTACACCACGGCTGTAGTCTGATGGTTCCCAGTCTTTACCTGCTATAAAATGTTCCCTACACAGACGGCTGTTGTCTGATGATTCTCAGTCTTTACCTGCTATATAATATTCCCTACAAAGACGGCTGTAGTCTGATGGTTCCTAGTCTTTACATGCTATAAAATGTTCTCTACACAAACAGCTGTATTCTGATGGTTCCCAGTCTTTACCTGCTATAAAATGTTCCCTACACAGACGGCTGTAGTCTGATGATTCTCAGTCTTTACCTGCTATAATTTATTATGATTGTAGCCGAGATAAGCTGTTTTACAACTGTACTACGAACTTGTACTGTTTTAGTGTTCAGGAAAAAGAATGAGCTCCGTTACTCTGTTTATCATTTTTGGAGGTTTTATTCAGAGTTAGCCAGAAGTTCTAAGCCAACCATGATTGTGGGCGGGATAAGTTGTTTTCTAACTGTAGTAGGACTTTGTTCTGTTTAGTTTTAAGAAGACAGACTGCCCTTTCGCTACTCTGTCTATCAGGTGTTGAAGATTTTCTTCAGAGTTAGCCAGAAACTCCAAGTTATTTACTTACAACAGAATAACAAGGAGTAATGATGAACAACAATTGTCCAGCTTACTGTGTTGTTACATTTCAGTGCTTATTACAGTGTTTCTCAAACGGTGGGTCGTTACTCACAAGAGGGTCGCGAGCAGGTTTCCGAGCTATTTGTGCTAAGTCAGCATTTTTTTTTAGTCCTCGAGGTGTCTGAGATGTGTACATATCACCTTTGTTATGAACTTGTAGAGATAATGGGGGTCGCGACGACAAAAGGGCAAATCCGGCTGAGAAACACTGGTTTATTATGTATTTCATTAAAGCTTTTTTGTTGTTATTGTATTTTTTGAAGAACAATCTTATTTGAAAACCCTGTCTATCATCTGTTAAGTATTCTGTATTGTAGCAGCAATAGACATAAGCTAAAACGAATGTAAAATTATAATTATAGAATTCACCACCAGTTTGATTTATCTTATCGAAACAACCGGTACTACAATCTATTGGCTATACCGTCACATTCTTCCAGCACGAATCTTGAAAGCTTAGCTAGTCTACAAGTATTTCTCCACGAGTATTATAAGTATAATTTTGCATTAGTTATCTTTAACTAAACTACAATAAATAAATAAATCATTCACTTTACTATTTTGTTTTTAGTCGTCACATATCACGAATTTCTTTGTACAACTAACATTTATTTAATTTAAGCAATCTCTCTGGTGATATAACCTTCCTTCTGTGAAAACCATCGCAACATGAATTTCAATACTGGTAACATGAGTGCAGGATACATTTTCACCTCAATTCATATTCATGCTAAGTAGACATCATCATGCTTGGTACACTGATTAAGAGTCAACAGTATGTCAAGTTAAAATATGGAATTAAATATACCAAACTTATGGAAAAACTGAACATGACAGGAAGTCTTGTTATGACTTTCATCGTAACATAGGAGAGTGTCTGTTGATGCTTCCGAGATAGAACACATAAAACGTTTTTAAAGTATTAATCAAAACGTGCCGGACTCTTTTCTGTGATTTGTGTCCAGAATTTGCGTCCAGTAAAAAACGTTTCTTTAAATGAAAGGGGGAACAGTTATAAAAATACAAGCGATTTAAAAATGTTTTATAAAGTTGTAAAATAATTACAAACTAAATTATATACAAAAATTATGTGATCATTTAGGTTTCTGTAAAATATTCAAAAGCTGTAAATATTCTGTAAAACCTGGTATTATTTGGGAGGGAATATTACACACGTGGTGTTTGTCACGTTTCTTTCTATATTCATTAAATTATAGAATTAAGTCATAGATTTCTCATCACATCAAATTACTCAGGTTATTGGAGTCTAGTTGAAAAATATACATATTTTCCAATACATTAACGTATCTTTATTGTATAACGTAATTTATATAATAACATACTCTAAGGATATCTCGTTATGAGTACCTACCTCGTCGTGTTTCAGGCCATTTCTCTGAAGACATTAAACTACGCATATTCAGATATCTGCTGAGACAGCTTCTTTGATCAAAACAATACCAGCCACCTGAAACAGAATTATATAATTATCAGGAAAACAATACCAGCCACCTGAAACAGAATTATATAATTATCAGGAAAACAATACCAGCCACCTGAAACAGAATTATATAATTATCAGGAAAACAATACCAGCCACCTGAAACAGAATTATATAATTATCAGGAAAACAATACCAGCCACCTGAAACAGAATTATATAATTATAAGGAAAGCAATACTAGCTACGTAATACACAATTATATAATTATCAGAAAACGAATACCAGCCACCTGAAACAGAATTATATAATTATGAGGAAAGCAATACCAGCTACGTAATACACAATTATATAATTATCAGAAAAACAATACCAGCCATTTGAAACAGAATTATATAATTATGAGGAAAGCAATACCAGCTACGTAATACACAATTATATAATTATCAGAAAAACGATAACAGCCACCTGAAACAGAATTATATAATTATGAGGAAAGCAATACTAGCTACGTAATACACAATTATATAATTATCAGGAAAACAATACCAGCCACCTGAAACAGAATTATATAATTATCAGGAAAACAATAACAGCCACCTGAAACAGAATTATATAATTATCAGGAAAACAATAACAGCCACCAGAAACAGAATTCTATAATTATCAGCAAAACGATACTAACCACCTGAAACAGAATTATATAATTATCAGGAAAACAATAACAGCCATCAGAAACAGAATTATATAATTATCAAAAAACAATACCAGCCACCTGATAAAAAAATATATAATTATCAGCAAAGCGATACCAATGACACGATACTGAATTATATAATTATCAGCAAAACGATTTAAGCGACATGATACAGAATTATATAATTATAAGCAAAACGATAACACCGACATGATATTGATTTCTATAATTATTAGCAAAATCATAACATCAACATGACAGTGAATTATATAATTCTAAGCAAAACAATATGAGCTACATAATATAGAATTATATAATTATAAGTAAAACGATAACATCGACAGGACAGGGAATAATATAATCATAAGATAAACGATACCAGCGACATGATACAGAATTATATAACTATAAGGTAACCATACCATCGACATCATATTGAATTATATAATCATCGTTTTCTTATAATTATATAATTCATTACTATGTCGAGGGTATCGTTTTGCTGATAATTATATAATTCTGTATCATGTCGCTGGTATCGTTTATCTTATGATTATATTATTCCCTGTCCTGTCGATGATATCGTTTTCCTGATAATTATATAATTCAATCTCATGTCGATTGTATCCTTTTGATGATAATTATATAATTATGTATCATGTAGATGGTATCGTTTTGCTTATAATTATATAATTCTGTATCATGTCGCTTAAATCGTTTTGCTGATAATTATATAATTCAGTATCGTGTCATTGGTATCGCTTTGTTTATAATTATATAACTCACTCTCATCTTCATGATAGTGAATTATATAACTATAAGCAAAACTATACCACCGATATGATACTGAATTGTATAATTATCAATAAAACAATACCAGACACCTGATATAGATTTATAAAATATTCAGTAAAAAGAATAAGCGAACCTATATAATTTCGACACTGTAAACAGAAAAAAGTTATAATAATTTTACTGATATCTTACCTTCTAAGAACATGAGCCACCTTTTGCTGCTGTGAGACTTTCTTAAATAGTAGCTGGAAGAAAAAATATTACAATTTGTGATCGACATAAAAAACAACAACATAAATCAAAAGAAAGCACCAAACTGTTTAATAACAAAATCTTATTTAACATATAGAAAATGTAGATGTTCTGTCACAAAATATCTCAGACTTTTGTTTAATGTTTTAATTTTATTTAGATGATTTTACAGTATTTTGTCTGATTAGCCCCTAAACAGGATAAATATATTTTAGATTAGAGCCTACCACTTACAATCTAAACAAAACAAAACAGGAATTAAAGATAAAACTATCGACATGAGATAATGTAAAGCCTATCCAAATTCCAATGTTTGAAATACAAGGAAAAAAGTATGTATAAATGAAGGGACAAATTCTCTATATCAAGTTTTTTCAAAATGAATTACCAATAAGACGAACTAGATTTATGAAATTGCATAAGAGTTCCAACTTCAAATTAATAAAAAGAAAGGAGCAAAATTAAGAGATCAATATTCAGGTAGTAATTAAACAACTAAGGATTTTCCAGCCAAGAAAAATACGTTTCGTGGACACATTTCTTGGAAAATTGATGGAAAAAGAAATATAGTGTTCTAAAATAAAGTATATATATAGAACATTGAGAATTTTAAGTCCCTTTGGTCTGTAGTAACCCTGGCTATTCGTCTTGGATTCGTCATTCTTTAACAAAATGAATTAGTCACGCTTCGTTTAGAAAATGAATTAGTCACTCTTTAATAAAACGAGTTAGTAACGGTACGGTTAAGTATCTGCTTGTTTGTTAATTTTCGGTATAAATTCCTTCCGAGGAACTTTAGCGATACAAGTCCTTTCTTGATTAAACTAGTTTATTCTCCCTCAATATAAACTTTTAGTAC